TAAAAAAAAAGTTTAGTAAAACACATAGAGTCTCTGAGTAGTCCTTCTAAATATAGCCTACATACATAAACCATAGATTTTTATCTAAACATATTTTTTTAAGACCTTCTTTCTCTGTACTAACTGGCAAGACATGTATCAGCCCTGATTAGATTTCACAAGATGACCACCTTTTCTAGCATATAAATACCTCTAAAACCGCTGTCAAGGACCTTTTTGGGGGCACAAAAAACAAACCAAGACTAAAACACTTCAAAAATGTGTCCTTCAAAATATTTCAAAATATGCTTGTAGAGACTTCATTGAGGATTTAAACTATGCAAACCCATGGTATTCCAATTTATGAAGTGATAATGGATTAAAAGGGAATAAGGTATTTAATAGCAGCAAAAATAACTGATCTTCTCATTTCCAGGAACTCAAGATTTTCTGCTTATGCAAGCATGCTTCCTATTGAAATAATTCTGCTAAATACAGAAAATATATGTAAATTACCTCACTTTGAAAAAATAATAAATGAGATACAATCCCAAAAGTACTCTCAATTTCAATAATAGCACTCCTCTAAAAATTCTCCACTAGAAAAAAAGCAGAGTGGAACAAATGTAAGCTTCAGAATGCAGTACTGGGTAGAATCACAAATAAATTCACAAACGTTAATGGTCTAGGTTGTGTCTAGTGGGACAAATGCAAATTGACAAAAAAACAGAAACAAGAAATCCCCAAACCCTAAAAATCAATAGCAGGGACGGATTTTTGTCAGACAAAAGATGAGAAGGCAAAAAGGAATTATTGGTGAGTTATGCTCCATTAGTTGCAAATCTAGGTGAAATAACCCTTTGTGTTTGCTTCTAAAAATGTCATCCTGGATGCCATTTTCAAGGAATTCAGTCTGACGTTAAAAGACATGTCATAACTTTGAGGATCCAGGCTCCAGTGTCCCAGAAATCTGTTTATACAGCTCATAATGTAATTACAGCTACCTTAAGACAGATGAGGCAGAAGGCAGCCATATATTGAAAACTAATTGAAAAATGCAGTTGTCCAGAAGCACTTGTGGGGAAGAGGTCTCTGAAAAGCTGCTCAAAGCTTCAGAGTTTGAAGCGAAATTTTTGATGTTGTCACTCTCAATCTATTGAAGAGCTGACAGACAATCAAACCCGTCTGGCTGGCTGGCAGCTCATTTTGCTGGCAGGTGGCAAACAATTAGACACACCAATTTGTGCCTCCTGATGACATTAAAGCATGAAACTAAGTTGTATGCAGGGCCTAGTGATTTGTGTGAAAGCATTTCAAAAATAATACTCTTTGCCGTGGCAACTCATTTCAGACTGCCACCTCCCATTATGGCTTTGAGCGGTGAAGACGACAGACTTGAGTTACGTGCGGTGCAAGGCCGCTTCTGTTCAATCCGTCATCAGCGCCCCCCGAGACCTCAATCCCCTCCTTTCATCAATATCACCTCATCATTTACATTCGATAGTACTTGAACTGCTGCATACATTAACTACCACACAAGTCCTGTTTGATAAAACATGTTGGACACGTTTTCTGCTTTTATATTTCATTTATAACTGCACAAATTCTACGGAAGAGCATACCGTAGCCTATTACACAATGACTCCTGTGAACATATTAGCAATATATAATTAAAAGAACATGCAGAGCAAAACACATCATATTAAATGATAAAACAGAATTCTTAATTTCAATTCTATTTACAGGAGTTTGCTTTATATGGCATTTACCTGCATGTAAGAGCAGTGACTATAGTTAAAGAAATATCTTTAAAACAACAAAGATACTGTTATTTTTCTGCTAATAACTTATTACCTCAACTCTTCTTTTACAAGGCACTCAGCCATCAAATGCAAAAATAAAATAAAAAAGTCTAGCCTCACAAGGACTAGGAATATCTTTTGATTAAAGTGAAAAATAAGTTTCTCTAACTTCAATTTACTTATAAATACGGAATCACCCTGTATATTTCATAAAACATGAAACAAATAAAACCTGACAAAACAATACACTCCATTGCTCATGAGTCTCACTAGAGAGACTAAACATGACCAATAGCCACATTGCTCAGTGAAGTACCAAAAGCTGCATAAACTACAGCAACAGAAATATGGTTCACAGGTATAGTGTTAACTTTTAAAAAATATGCAGTCTATATTATTTAATTGTTAGTTTATATCAGTAAACACAATTATATTTACATGAGCAAGGACAGAAAAACAATCATGTCATTTTTTTCAGTTTTTCAAAAGTAAGTGGGATATTATAGGCAACACAAAATATACATAAATACCACAAGCTAAAATTCATGTTGCATCCTCAATATTTTAATTCATTCTAATATTATTTCAATTCAAGCTCTTTTCCCTCCTAACCTTGGTTTCAGCCTCCGTGGAAAGCTACAGGGTCAATATCTCAATCTGCTTCTCCTTTAAAATTAGAAAAAGAAAATCGACAATGTCACCTATCTTTTGCCTCCAAAGATTGGCACAGTGGTCAAGTAAGTACTTTGTAAACATGAGCAAAGTGCAGAGAGAAGTGTTTGCCTGAACAGTGGTCATCATTCAGTAATGCAGCCATGAGGTACAACTAGCCGGTTGAGGTCCTGTTTTAGAGAGATGCTCACAATTCAATAACACTCGTTTAGTTGTAGGTAAGAATTTAACACTCCCTGATCTGCTGGGACCTGCCATTTTTGGTTGTATTAAAAAGCATGACCTACGTCACTCACCAAAATCAGATAGCAGGATGATCTATTGAAGAGAAAAAATATCCCAACAAAATTGATACAAATGGGTCTTTTTTTGCCTAAACTTCAACCATTACCACTACTTTTGCTGAAGAATCAAACAATGCCAAGCGTTAACAGGATAGAACATATGCTACCAAGCTACAAACATAGCTGTACGCTTTGTACAGTAAATCATGGAATCACAACTTGGTCAGCAGGGTAACAGGATAGGGAAAACCCAAATGACTAAACCTTCTTGGCTCATAAGCAAACTTATTAAGTATGAAATGCCTATCAAATTCTGTAAGCTGTAGACATGAAGCACCTCTCAAATAATTCCATAATTCTTTCTTAGGAACTACTGATAATGATGTTCAAAATGTATAAGCAGTCACATTGTTGCAAGAAGAATTTAGTGGAGGTGCTCACACTAAATAGAGGTTATGGCCAACCTACTGCAGCCCGTTAAGAGTTTTTAATGCTTTCTTATAACACCGTGATTTAGAAATTCAGAATAAAATTCATCTCTTCAGTCATCTTGTTGTTAAGTTCCCTCTTACACCATGAGGTGATATGCTCCATTTTAATTTATGTGTTTAGCATTTTGTGAATTAATAATAACCCTCTGAATGAAGTATTTTTCTTAATTGACCAAGGTAGAAATTTAGCTGAATAGGTTCAACTAAAGTAACCTTTTGCTGGTTACAGTTAGGTACTATTAGTTCTACATGCACCACAAATTTCTGTACTGCTTAACATACAGGAATGCATTCTGGAATATGATGGTTCCTCCCAGAGGATTAAGGAAAAATTTCTAACCACATAGGGAAAAAAATATTTTTCACTTCACATTGAAATCACTCTAAAATCAAAACATGCAGATTGGTGAATAAAAAAATATCCTTTTAATGAAACAGCTGCTAAATGATCTTTTCTCTGAAATAGTCTTAAGACCTAAAATATTATGAGAAAGGGATATATTAATTGCTTCTAAAACACATTTCACTTTTCCAATCTCAATCCAATCTTCTTTGTTGCAATAGATGCTATCTGAATTTTTATTGAATTATTTCAGAAAAGTAGCCTCAGTACTAATATATATACACATAGACAAAAAGGCAAGAGCTTTTCTATGGAATTTCTATTGAAAAAATGCTTCTTCATTTTTATTCTATAATTCTCCTGTATCTTCTTGCACTTTACTATTTACATTACACTGAAAACATTGATTGCATATTGTTTTTCTTCAGACTTTAATGAAGTTCTGTAAATGCAGATGGACTGTTCTCATAAATCACAACACAGCCATTTTCTTATTTTGTCTTTCCTTCAGAATTTTAATTCTTGTACCTGCATGATGAACTAATATATTTCTACAGCTTTGCTTAAAATTTTGAGACACGATTTATCGTACCTTTGAGTTGTCTTGATTCCATTTTTTATCTTTAAAACATTTTTATGAATAAACTGCAGGTATCCTGTCATAGTGGAAAATGTAACCACATCAACAGGCATAAGAGTTAGCTCTTTGCAAAGGTTAAGACTGAACCCACAACGGAACAACGTTACCCTTCTTCTCAAAGGATGTTGTCGATTGCACATCTTACTACAACTTGTGTGTTCAGGATAACTGAGGTGGACTGTGCACTTAAATACAACTATATTCATTAGAAGCTTAAAAGCTAAAGCCTAAAAAAGGAAACAAAGGACTCTCTGTGGAAATGTTCAGCAGTTTATTTTTAAACACTAAATTTTGAGCGTATTTGCTTTTTAAGGACCTAAAAGGAAACTGGTTTCCACCATGACCATGCAAACAATTTGCCATGGTCGAAGCATTTCAGTACCAGAAAACAGTGCAATGATGGATCCAATTAAGATTTAAACCTTTAAAAGAATATTCGACTGAATTTCTGCAGTCTGTTCTATATCAGCAGATATTACCCCTCCTCCTCCTCCTCACTAAAATGCTGTTTTAAAGGAAAAAAGATTTTATTGCAAAAATGTTTCTTTACAACAGGCTTGTTTTCCAAGTACCTCGTAGAGTTTTATTCACTGCTGACAGAGAAAAACAAGGTGAATTACTTTTGTCTATACTATACAGTCTGTTTTTGTAACGCAGAAAAGGAGAAGTAATGCAGCTGTTTTTTAATATAGTCTAATACAAACCAATAGAAGAATAACCATGTTAAAAAAAAAAATCCTTCAAATTTCTGAATAACACCAATATAAAATAATGAATCCAGCCATATACCTGTCAAATGAGTGAAACTGCATGGGAAGAATAGCATGAGCTTCTCTCTTCAGTGCAGGATCTGGGTAAGGGATCGGATCCGGACCACATTCTGCAATTTCAACAGGGGCTGCCACAAGACTTTTCAGTATTTCCTTAACATTGATGCCTTTACTTTGGCTGATACTGGATATCGATGATGCGGGTTTCAAGATTTCACTGGGGCTTTCTGTTAAGCTCTCCTGAGATTTCTTCACTTCTGAAGACAAAGTAGACAACAGCTCGCTCATAGCATCAGGGCCTGTGCTGGTCTCCAAGTCTGTCCCATTCAAAATATTGGGCATCTGTTCATCTCCAATTCCAGAATCTGTATGAGGAATAGAGCTTTCCAGCTGAATATCTTCAACTGGTGTCGGCGTTTCTTTATCTTTGATATTTTCTGGAAATACAGTTGGTGTCTCTGCAGTGAAACAGAGATTATGAACAATATTTATAACTTAGTTTGATTTTTTTTCTCCTAAAAATATGATCAAGACAGAAATGTAAGTGTTAGTAAGCCCACAAATCTTAGTATTTTACACCTTAGAATCTCATTCTACATACAAAACATTTTGCTTTCAACAGCTGTTTGGCATATATAAAGGTTTGGAAGATGGAATCCAAAGTTGCATTATGCAAGCTCAGTGACATTTAGAAATTACAGCCCACTACTCACACAGTAATCAAACAGTAGAACACTGCCAGCAAAAACAACATTAAAAATTATAACCTATCAACTGCATATCTGTATGATCTGGGAGACTAGAGGAAGAGAAAAATGCAATCATTTATGCTTTAGGATTACTGTAAAATTTAGTCTTTTGATTGCTGTCAGTAAATATTAAGCTTGCATTCAAAAGAAAACTGCTAGACCTTTTGTTTGCTTTATCTTTTGTTTAAAATTTGTTATACACATTTTTACATACATATCATTACATTGAATACAAATTTATTTATACGTGAATGAAAAAAAGAAGTGTTCTTGTTCATTCTTTAGATAACTCCTCCTTCCCCACAAAAGGTAAAATTCTGTATTTTTTTCTGGAAAATGTTAAGAACAAAATAAACCCAGCTTTATAGACATGAGCAAGTGAAATCTGTTGAGTTTGGAACATTTCCAGTTTGGAATGGACTCTACAACATCTTGTAACCGAGAAAAGTGTTTACCTCTATTAATTACTTCAGTGAAACAGACACTACAACTTCATTAAATAAGAATAATTTGCTATGCCTAGTGGAAAGTTAGCTAGAGTTGTGAATAACTTCCATATTCATCTTTTTGGTTATCTTTTTTAGAGCAACAGACCGTGGCTATTTTTAATGACAAAAAGCTTGCACTCAAACTGATTTTTTAATTTATTTTCAAACTACTTTATTTTAATCAGAACACTTGTCTTGATTATAAAATTTAGCTGGCCTGTGTATGAATTAGAAACACTTTCTTTTTCTTTAATGGTTCTGATATAGCAGTTCAGATGGCATAGAAAATATTTTACAATGTACTTAGATGAAGCTCTGCCTTTCTGCTTATTCCAAACAAAATGTCCTTCAACAATATAACTTCAATAACAATCACATAACTTATTACCGATTGTTTGATACAGTCAGGTGTAAAATACCTATATATTTATCACATTGGCATAAGTGTGTGTACGCATGTGCAGACAAAAATCTCTATATGAGATTATTTATGTGTTTGAACTAACAGTAGTGTAAAACTCTTCATGTGTACGTGTACTAACAGATATAGATAGAACAGAAGACACTTTTTAAAATATAGAGCAGAATAACCCATTACAAGGAGTATCGTTTGCTCCTTTAACAGCCATAAATGCTGAAGCCACTTCCTTCTTCTTTTTCTCCTAAGTGCCTTAAACACATCTTATCAAATAGATATGAGCCCTGCTTTGTCACGCAGGAAGTAGAAACTGGATTTATGAGCTGCATAAAATGCACTTAGCATCTGCTGGGTCAGGAAGTAAAAAAACCCACCGTATCTACTTAGTACTGCGTATATTTGGCACAGAAGGACATCTGATCCACAGAATGATCCTAATGAATTTTCTGCTTGCTTGTCTCTTCAAACCTCATCCACACAAAGACAACACTTCTCAATTGAAGGGAAGAGTAGGACTGGACTGCTACTCAAGCAGATTGTTGCCCTTGTAACGTATGGTAAGCAAAATAGCATAAGGTTCCATTATTATGTAAATGAAAAGAGGACAATAAAAAAGAAGATGGTCCACTACACGGTGAAGTTAGAGTACACGGAACCTCGATTTTCATTATGGTCAACAAGGCTGAACACAAAACTAAAGACATGGAAATGTGGTTGTGGAAATTCAAATACCCTAACTAAACCAGAAGAAAGATTTTAATGTATTAAAATCATGGGAATGAACTGACTCGGAGCCAATTTTGGAAGAAACAGTCTAGGAAATTACTCGTCTAGTAGCAAGTACTTTTGCCAAACAGGTAAGTGGAGATAGCAACATACAACTGGAGAATACCAACACATGGTTTTTCTTTTCGAGAAAGAGGAAAAAGGGATCTGAACAACTACAAGTCTTCAGCTTAGACAACTACAAGCCAGTAAGCAAGATTTCAGGATTTATTTTGGAGTAAAGAATAGTAATGGAATGGAACAAGACAGATTACAAAATGGCTTTGCTAAAAGAGCTTTTTAAATACTTATTGCTCAAAGAAAATAAGGGCCAATGTAGTAAAATTCCGTAGAGATGGTAATTTACTCAGGAGAACCTGGAAAATAATAGAAGGTGGGAAAAGAAACTGGCTAAGAAGGAGACATCAAATAGTTTCAAAACAAAAAACATCAGACTGAGGAAAACTACCATAGGAGTTATCTCTTATAAAATATTAATACAGATCTCAAATGAAAAAGTAAAAACATTCTGGTGAAATTTGCTGATGACAAAGTCAGAAGGTACAATTGATGCACAGAAGGATGATTATAGGAAGGAATTATGACAGACCTGTATATTAGATTTAATAGTGAAAAGCTATGCATCCAGTGACTAATACAGAGATTCCCATTATAATTGTCATTCATCAGCTGGAAATGTCTGAAGAGAAGGACCTGGATACATCAGTGACTGGGTGACTATTCAGTTACCAATACAACACTGCTATGGAAAAGGCACTGTGATTCCAAACTTTTCTGAAGAAATAGCTCCTGTAAGAGTTAAGTATTAACGCATTACCGAAGGCATTCGTAGGCTTCATTATGGCATACTGTGTACACTGTTGTATTTGAGGAAGATGGAAGCGCCACTACAGAGATCCACAGTGATCGACTGTTGCAGAAAAAAAGAGTGTGGCCGATCTAGACTGGCCAAACTAGTACTGAGAGGGTATACAACAGCTATTATACATGTATTTTCAGGATGCAAACTCCAGAAAAAGGATTTAAGTTAAATGGACGAACTGGCATGAGAAAAACTGAGTGCAAACTCACCAGGAATACACTTAGATTGAGAAGTGACAGTCATCACTATGGAATTAAAGTTCTGAAATAGCCTTCCAGGTAGAATAGGAAACTAAAAAATCAAAACTAATTTCAAGACTCTATAAATAGGACTGTACTTAATTACTCATCAGGCGCCTTATAATCCTTTGTTTCCAAATGAAAATAAAATGCCTAAAGGATTGCGCCATTTGAAGTTAAAAATCGAACAAAAATTAAATTTGTGTGCACAGAATTTAGATATGACATAATATACAATACATAATACTAATTAAAGTTATTTAGTAAAAAAATATCAAGAGAAGTTATTCTATATATGGATACTTGACATCCACAGACACCAGACTTGTATCTTTACTTTTTTCACTGTGTCTCCAGCACCTAATATGAATACGCTGCACTTAGTCAATTAAACTGTCTGATTTATCACTATGAATAACAATCTCTAAAAGCTACCTAAATCCAATGCATTAACTCTAATTTTTAAAATATCAGGCAAGCTAAATGAATAAGAGTTTAAAAGGTTCAATTTACTTTTTGTAAATCAAAGGAAAATAAAGTCAGAACAAATAAAACTGCTTAATAACTGCCTCTCAAATAAGAATACTAGCAAATTAGTATTGGGGAAATTCAGATTAATATGTCTGAAAAGATGTATTATAAGACCTTCTGGATCAGTATTATTATTAGCACTATTTTAGGTAAATTATAAACTCCTGAGCATGGGTCATGAAACCCAACCAATTTTAGTTACAACACTGCATACCCACAAGTTTTATTCTATGTTTATTCATACCGTGTCATAGTACTTCTGTTGCCTTCAGAATTCAGAAATAAAGAATACTGTTTTATAATGTTATTTCGAAAAATCTTAAACCGGTACCGTGTATGCTTTTAGAAAAATCCTAAATACTCAAAAGCAACTTAGCAAAATGATAAACATGAACAGAAGCAAAAATATAACTGATTGCATCTGTCTGTTATAACATTGTGACAGTAAGCCTGTAAATTTTCAGCAAACCTCATCAGTTTTCTGCAGCACAAGGCCATGTCAGTAGACAAAGCAGGAACATTGCTAGATCTAGTGATCTTAACCCTGTCAGAAATAGGCAGTTGGAAGCCAGATGCCTCCTTCTTACTGTTTTTCATTGTAACTAATGAGTTCATCTACCACATTATGGGAAAAATATGGGCTTAAGTTAACTAAATGACATATTGTATATCTGGTGACCTCATCCGTCACGCTCCTTCCCTAAAATATCTTGTTTGCTTGTGATTTATGAAGTGTATTGTAATTGTTTTAACCTACTGAGTTACCTAAATAGCACTTGCACTACTTCCATATGCCTAAAAAATACACACACCCCCATGTTTATTAACTTAATAATGAGACCTTTCATATCTGTGGTAAATTCATACAATTTTGCCATTATAAAAAAATGACAACACAAAATATTCTTCTTTTAATCTTTATTTACTTTAAAAAATGGAAAAACTGTGGGTATGTTCCTATGGTCCTTTTTCTTTTTCATTTCATTAACCCTCCCCATTAGATAAAAATCAGCTGAAAATTTTCAAAAGTAAAGAAGTATGACAATTATTCTTTTTAACTGCTTACAATATGGCTGAGAACTTATTTGAAAGTCATACTATCCCAAATCATCGTCAAATTTCTGCTGTAAACAATATAGCAACACCTGGCAACAGAAGGTTTGGGACAATGTTGATAGAGGAGTTGCTGCCACCTTTCAGTCTGCATGTGCACCAGAGAATTTAAGAGTTGTTTTCTATATAGCTATCTTAAGGCATTGATAATAACCCTATTAGCTGCCTTTTATGTAGTATTCTACAAACTTTCAGGGACAGTACACTACAAGCTGAAAATACTTTCAAACCAACCGGGCAGTGATATTGTAGCTTCCTCCATAGGTGGCAGA